GAATATAATCAAAATACATTGTATAAAATTCTCAAAGAATCAATAAAAATATTTTAAAATAAAGATTATTAAGAAAGCTGGACATGGTGGTACATATCTATATTCCTAGCACTTGAGAGGCAGAGGCAGGAAAATCTTAAGTTTGAGGCCAGCCTGGGCTACATAGTGAGAGCCTGTCTGAAAGTGAAGATGCAGACCAGCAAGATGGCTCAGCAGTTAAACACAAGCTACATAAACATGACAAGCTGGATTTGATCCTCAGAACCCAAGTAAAGGTGGAAAGAAAGAACCAACTCCACAAAGTGGTCCTCTGCCTCCCCACAATAATAATAATAAATATAAATATGAAGGTGCTGGGGCTGAGCTGCCTGTACAGAGAGGGAAAGATTTTCCATAGGGAAATGGCCTTTACCTTTAATATTTAATACTACTGTTTTCATGAACTAGGGAATATCTGGGTTTGTGACTCAGGAATAGAGCATTTACTTAGCATGCATGAGGCCCTGGATTCCATCTATACACACACACACACACACACACACACACACACACACACACACACAGCTCAAACCAGGAAGCTTTCTGGGGACTCAGTAGGAACACATGATGAGGTAGGAAGGGAAGGGAGCCCACCACCTACAAAGACTTCAAGGAATACACTCAGGGGAAGAGGAAAGTAGACTTAAGCCAAAATTTTTACTCAGGACACAGAGGTTTGGAGGAGAAAAAGGACACAGACAGTCATCTGTCATACTCACTCCATTCTGAACTCTATTGAAGATGCTGCAGCATGTGGCCTGTCAAGGCTGTAATTGTTCCTATGTTCTTGAGCTGAACTGAATCATTCTTTCCTGTCTATTTTAACATTCTAAACTTGCCATGCTTTCTTGGGGTCGAGAAATACAGCTAAACTATAATTAGAGCAACATCAAACCCACTCTGTTTTATCTTCCCCTAAAGTCTTACAAAGTTAGATCATAGAACATAAAATGTGGAGGAAGCAATGACTTTCTCAAGAACACACAGCAGGGGCTGGAAATATATCCCAGTAGGCATGAAGCTTCGGGTTCAGTCCTCATCACTGCGTAAACTGAGTGTGGTAGTCCAAGCCTGTAACCCCAGCAGTCAGAAGGAAGATGAAGGGAGATTAGAGGCTCAAGGTCATCCTCAATTACATATAGAGTTCAACGGCAGTCTGGGTTAGATTTCTTAAAAAAATAAATAATGAAAAGAGAATTTTTTCTGTTCAAGTATAACTATTTTTAATTGATTCCAGAATTCCATACAATGTATTTTGATCACATTTAGATACCCTCCCCATCCCTATCATCTTTCCACTACCCCCCATTTCATGTCCTCCATTATTATCCTTTTCTTTGAAAAGAGATTTTAAAAAAGAAGAAGAGGAGGAGGAAGAGGAAGAAGAGGAGGAAGAGGAAGAGGAGGAGGAGGAGGAAGAAGAAGAAGAAGAAGAAGAAGAAGAAGAAGAAGAAGAAGAAGAAGAAGAAGAAGAAGAAGAAGAATACATCCAGACATGGTGGTGCAGAGACAAGTGGATCTCTGTGAGAGTGATGCCAGTCTGGTCTACAGCTGGAGCTACAGGGAGACCCTGTCTCAAAAAAGTCGAAAAACAGGCTGGAGAGATGGCTCAGTGGTTAAGAGTACTGGCTGCTCTTGTGGAGGATCGGGGTTCAGTTCTGAGCACTCACATGATGGCTAACCATCTGTTAATGCCAGTTCCAGGGGATCTGACACCCTCTTCTGACCTCCACCGAGCATTGTACGACAAACAGGTGTACTTACATACAGGCAGGCAAAACACTCATTCACAAAAAATAAAAATAAATTTAAATAAAAGAAGAAGAACATACAGCAAGTCCTCATCGTACTAGGGACTGGAACCTGCTGGCCTGATCCCTGGACAGGTCTCCCCTGCTGGGACAGTGAGGCAGACCCAGCACACAGAGAGAAGTGTTGAAAGAGAAAGCCCTCCATCTGGACTCCTTTTCCCCAGTGCTCAACTTTGAAAATTTCCAAACACAAGAGCTGGAAGAATGGTCCAGTGAGCACTCATAAACCGTCCCCTTGCTTTACAGTAATATTTTGCATAGATCATCACTTCATACTACAGTAATACTTTACATAAGCCATCACCTCACTCTACAGTAATAATGTAAAATATTAGTCACATAGCCATTCATCCCCTCGTCAATAATTGGTTTGAAATTTTTGTTAAATTTTAACATTTATTCTATTTTTCAGAGGTTTTAAGACAGGGTCTTGCCATCCAGCCCCAGCTGGCAATACTCCTGACTTTTCTTCCTGAGTGCTAGAATTACAGGCAGTGACATTACACTCAGCTTCAAATTTTAACCTTAAAGGACCAAACTCCATGAAAATATTCAGCCTCCCTATATAAAGGAAATCACTGGGAACCTGGTCCATGGTCAGGACTCATCTTAATTGTCTGACTAGCTGTTTAGCCAGCCTGCGCAGCCCTGCTTCCCGTCACTGGAGCACATGGCTAAGGCACCAGGGCTGAAGCATTGGAGCAACCACATAGCTGTCCCTAGCTGCTCAACACAGAAAGGACTCCCTAGAGGCAGCAGCATCTGCCCTCTCTGAGAAAGGAGAGTTCCTGGGCTGTAAGGAAGTCAGAGCTGCTGTCCTGGGCATGGCAGGGACCCATTCACACTGAACTGTGGTATGGTGGGAGGAGGTAGAACCACCTCAGAGACATCAGTACCCAGGAAATCTCTGTCAGGCAGATGCATACAGCCCTAGGACCTGTGAAGCTCAGCCTCACCCAGGCATCACGCAGAAAGCTTAATTCTCTAAGTGCCAGCCAGGCCAGTTATGGCAAGAAAAGCAGAGGAGAGGTGCAGGAGCCCAGACTCCCTACTCCATTTAGACAATAAGCCCCAGAAGGCCACACTACCTCAGCCCCTATCATAAAAGATGATACTAAGGCCTTCCAGCCCTGACCCACCCAATCTCCATGACATCAACCTCTGCCCAAGCCCAGTGGGGCTTCACCCACCTTTCCCAGGTAGCATAGAGACAGTAGCCTCACCCGTTTCTTCATTGTGACTCTGCAGCTACCTTGGAGCTGACAGCTCATCAGTACCCCCCATTCTGTGCAGTATAAAGACCAAAGCATCCCACGCTTGGTCCCTTCCAACTGCTGGCTGTGCCTCCTCCCCACTCTTCTCTCTTGCATCTAAGCTTGCACGCCTGGGTTTTGTCTCAGTCAAATCCTTCTTACCTGTGAAGACCAAATTCCTGCTGCCTCTCTCATGAGAGCAGAACCCAGAAGCAGCATCCAGGCATCATCCTGCAGTTGAGCTGGTCCCCTGAAGCCCTCGGCATCTGTGAATCCCTCCACTTAGAACAGCTCTAACTACATTTTCCATTCTTTCCCCCACTGTACAATGAGGAAGCACCTGACCCAGCAGAAGTAGACCTCAGAAAGTTTCAGGGAAAAAAGGAGAGTCTACCAACCCTTCCAGGAAACAGCCACAGTGACAGTAGAGTGCTGAAGTAGAAGTGATGGGAGCCTGAAGTCAGCTGAGCTGGACCAGAAGAGGCCAGGTGCAGCCAAGGGAACTGGGCTGCCAGGGTTAGAGCAGAACAGAGCTGAGGTCCACACCAGCGCACAGTCACCCTTGCTGCGTCCTTATCTGGAGCAAGGTTAGGAAGGCTTGCTTTGTGGGCTGGAGTGTAGTTCAGTGGTAGAGCCTGCCTCAGGTGGTAAAATGCCTGTCTCACATGGTTGGGAGACACAGATAAAGTATGGGACTCTTCAGACTTTGAGAAATAACGTGTATTCATAAGATGTGCTGGATAGCTTCAGTCATCATCTTGACACATTTTAGGAAGAGTGAATTACAACAGAGTTATTTCTTCCATCTGTGGCCCAGGTCCCTGAGGCATTTTCTTAATTGCTAATTGATGTGTGAGGACCCAGCCCACTCTTAGTGGCGCCACCCCTAGCAGGTGGCCTTGGGTTGTATAAGAAAGCTGAGCACAGGCTAGAGGAGCTAGCCAGTAAGCCGCGTTCCTCCCTGGTCTGTGCTTCAGTTCCTGTCTCCAGGTTCCTGCTCTGCTTCAGTTCCTGCGTTGGCTTCCCTCAAGGATGAAGTGTGGTCCAGAGGTGTAAACCAAACAAACCACCCCCACCCCCGACCCCAAATTGGTTTTGGTCAGTGTTTTTCCAAGCAATAGAAAAGAAAGACTGAAATCTTGTTAGCGCGCATTTCCTGTGAGCTGCAGCTCCACCAGGGGACAGCACAGACTCGCTTTCACCTGCTGGCGAAGCTGAGCATCCCGGGTCCGACTGCCAGAGCGCTTCCACCCCC